AGGTCTTACACATCTTTTGTTTATTCCTAGGTTTCTGATGTTTTGGGACAAATCATAAATAGTGCTGTTTACAATTTCACTTTCCAGTTGTTTGTTGATAGTATATACAACTGATTTTTGTTATATTGACTATGTATCCTATGATTTGCTGAATAAAGTTAATGGTTCTAGTAGCTTTTCGGTATATTTCATGGGCTTCTGTATGTATACAATCATACTGCCTGTGAATATAATTTTACAATAATCACTCTTTAGCTGCAATTTCAATTTCTGTGGCTTCAGTTACCTGTGGTCAACCTTGGTCCAAAAATAGTAAATGAAAAATTCTAAATGTAACCATTCTTAAGTTTTAAATTGCATACTGTTCTGAGTAGCATGATGAATCTCACGTTCTTCTGTTCTGTCCCACCTGGAATCATCCCTTTGTCCAACACATCCATGCAGTATATGCTGCCCATCTGTTAGTCACTTAGTAGGCATCTTGGTTATCAAGTCGACTGTTGCAGCATCACAGTGACTGTGTTCAAGGTCAACATTAGCCTAAAACTACATCTCAATGCCTATATCATTCACCTCACTTCCTCTCATCACTAGGCACTTAATTATCTCACATCATCACAAGGAGCATAGTACAATATTTTGAGAAAGATTACATTTACATATCTTCTATTATAGTACATTGTTATAATTGTTGTTTTATTATAACTAATATCTTACTATGCTTAGTTAACAAATTAAAGTTTATCATAGGTATGTATATATACAAAAGAATATAGCATATATAGAGTTTGGTACAATTTGTGGTTTTAGGCACATACTGGGAGTCTTGGAATATATATCCCTGGCAGATAAGGGGGACTATTGTACTTATTTCTCTCCATTTTAAAAATTAGTATAATCCACAAGCCAGAAAGTTCACTTTTAAAGTGCATAATTCAGTGATTTTTAGTATATTCACAAAGTTGTACAACCATCATCACTATTTAATTCCAGAATATTTTCATCACTACAAATATAAACTCCATACTTATTAGTGGTCATTCCCCCACTGTCCCAGTCTCTACCCCTGATAACTAGTAATATACTTTCTCTGTAGATTTGCCTATTTTGGACATTTCATATAAATGGAATCATACACTATATGGCTTTCACTTAGCACATAAAGTGTTTAAGGTTCATTGATATTGTAGCATGAATTTGTACTTCATTTCTTTTTATGGATGAATAGTATTCCACTGAATACTATGAGTGGATATACCATACTTTGTTTATTCGTGTTATCAGATGATGGGCATTTGTGTTGTTTCTACTTTTGGTTATGGATAATGCTGCTATGAACATTTGTGTCACATTTTTGAGTGAACTTACATGGTATATGTTTTGCAATTTACATGGGTATATATCTAGGAGTGGAATTGCTGGTCCATATGGTAACCCTATGTTTAACTTCTTTGGGAAGTGCCAAAATATTCCCAAAGTAGCTGCAACATTTTACATTCTTGCCACCCAGGTATAAGGGTTCTAATTCCTCTGCATCCTTACTGACAGTTGTTCTTATCCCCAACTCCTCCTTTTAAAAAAAATTATTAAAGCCATATAAGTGAAAAGTCATATCTCATGGTTTTGACCTGCATTTCCCTAATGACAAATTATGTTGAGCATCTTTTCATGTGCTTAGGGTCATTTGTATGTCTTCTCTGGAGAAATGTTTACTCAAATCCTGCGGCCATTTAAAAATTAGATTATCTTTTTATTGTTGAATTGTAAGAGTTATTTATATACTTTGAATACTGAATCTTTATTTGGCAGTTGCGAACTCCTGGGCACAAGTGATTCTCCTGCCTCAGCCTCCCAAGTAGCTGGAGCTATAGGTACACACCACCCTACCCAGATCTTTTTTTTTTTTTTTTTTTTTTTTTGTAGAGCTGTGGTCTTGCTTTGTTGCCCAGATTTGTCTTGAACTCCTGGTCTCAAGTGATCCTCCCACTTTGCCCTTCTGAAGTGCTGGGATTACAGGCATGAGCCACTGCATCTGGACTTAGCTTTCTTAATAGTGTTCTTCAAAGCACAAAAGTTTGTAATTTTGATTAAGTGCAATTTATGTTTTTCCTTTGGTTATGCTTTTTGTGTCACATCTAAGAAATTACTGCAAGAATCAACGTCACAAAGATTTTTATGCTTTTTTTCCTAAGATTTTTATGGTTTTACCTATTACACTGGATCTTTGGTTCATCTTAATATTTGTAAGTGGTGTGAGGCAGGGTTCCAACTTTTTTTCATGTGTATATCCAGTTTTCCCATCATGATTTGTTGAAAAAGACTACTTCCCCCCATGCCCCCATTTGTCCTGGCATTTTGGTGAAAGTCAATTGACTATAAATGTAAGATTTTATTTATGGACCTCAATTATATTTCGTTGATCTGTACTCCTGTCTTGATTACTATAACTTCATAACAAGTTTTGAAATCAGGAGGTCGGAGTCTTTTCAATCTTTTATGCTTTTTCTGTTTTACTGAATTGATTAGGGCCTTCAATATCCTAAATAGAAGTGGTGAGAGCAGGAGTTCTTGTCTTACATTTGCTTCCCTGATCTTAGGGGAAAATGACTTAATATTCCATATGAAGTTGTTCCAAAGATGATCACTATCTGACCTAGGAAGTTTCTTTCTCTTCCTAGTTTGCTGAGTTTTTAGCATTAATATATTCTGAATTTTGTAAAATAATTTTTTTGCATTTATTAAGACCATCATTTTGTTTTTCTCTTTCATTCTGTCAATGTGGTGAGTTACACTGGTTTCAATGTTAACCCTATTCTCTTTGGTTATGGTAGCTTATCTTCTCTATTGCATGGTTCAATTTGCTAATATTTTAAGATTTTTAATATCTATATTCATGAAGAATATTGGTCTGTAATTTTCTTATAAAATACTCATCAAATTTTGGCATCAGGATTATGCTGGTTTCATTAAATGAGTTTAGAAGTGTTTCTCCTTGTTCTGTTTTCTAAAATCATGTAGGACTGGGGCTCTGTCTTCCTTAAATGTCTGATAGAATTCACTGGTACAGTCATCTGGGCCTGGAGTTTTATTTGTGGGAAGTGTTGCTTAAAAATTCAATTTCTTTAATATACATGTTGGGTCATTTAGCTTTTCTTTTCCTTCTTGTGTCAGTTTTGGCAATTTGTATTTTTTTCAGAAATTTGTCCATTTTACTTAAGTTACTGAATGTATTGGCATAAAGTTGTTCCCTGTAATACCTAGGAAATTCCATTAGCATTTTGACTGTTAAAAGTAAAACTTCTGTATACATAGATGACAAATAATCAGAAGATGTGTAACACATGGCAGAAAAAAGGATATATGTGTATATAAATATACAGTAAGAGCAAACAGTCCATGGCAGACAGGTGACAATACAGTGTGACAATACAGCATGAAAAATGTCATCACAGGCACACAGAGAACTCATAGGAAAAAAAAAGATATCCAGTCCAATTGGGAAAGTCAGAATCATGATGTTCAAAGGGTAAGTTCTCAAATAATCTTCTTCCCACTTATCAGTGAACTGTAATGTGTAGTTTACTAGTTACCACTGAGATTTCTGGAGTTGTGTGGCTCCAATGTTCACAAGGAATGGCTCTGGGTCACTCTGTAAAACATAGATAAAAACTGCACCTATCTTACAGAGATGTGATGGTTAAATAAATCAACCTGAAAAAGTACTCCAGTACTTGACGGGTAAGTACTCAGCAAATGTGCATTATTATTACACTCAACAATCACACAGACACAGGAATGTCTGTCTCATTCCATATTCTGTTCATTCACATATCTCCCACACAGCAACATTCTATGACCAACTCACTGTACTTTCTTCTTCCCCTCCTCTGCTCTGAAGGCACGCTGTCCTTTCCAATGACCCCTTTTCTTCATTCCAAAAAAAACTCACATAGGGCCTGAAGATGATGACCACAAAGGTAACGATGAGCCCTTCAGTCCTAACAGGAGTTCCAGGATGACAACCTTGGGGGTAAACGTTAGCCCTTCAGTTCTAACTGGAGCCCAAAGATGACGATGATAACCCCTTCCACTCCTAACTAGAGCACGAAGATGATGACCTTGGATTAATGATGGGTCCTTCAGTCTTAAGTGGAGCCCAAAAAGGATGACCTTGGGGGTAACGACAAGTCCTTCAGACTTAACTAGAGCCCAAAGATGATGACGTTGGGAGTAAATGAGCCAATGAAGTCCTAACTGGTGCCCAAAGAAGATGACCTTGGGGGGAACTATGAGCCCTTCAGTCCTAACTAGAGCCTGAAGATGATGACTTTGGGGTAATGATGGGCCCTTCAGTTCTAAAACTGGAGCCCGAAAATGATGACCCTGGGGTAACACTGGTCGGCGCCGGTCGACGCAGTGAGAGTGGAACCCAGGCAGAGGCCCTGCTGAGGGCCGGGAAGGAGCCCGCTCTCCCCCGCCAGTTCTGCAGGGCCGCCGGCCCGTCTCCCTGCAGCCTTTGGGTACAACCGACATTCGCAAAAGCCAGCCCCAACTCCAGGTCACCCGCCACCCCGGCGGGCAGTGAACTCGGGGCGGCTGCGGGGGCTAGCTGGGCGGGTCTCCGGGCGCCGGGTCCTGACCTGCGCGCCCCTCGCGGGCGGGCGGCCTCGGACAGGCGAGGCGCAGGGCAGCTGCTGGGGCGGGGAGGACGACTCCAGCGAGGCACGTCCCTCCGCCGCGGAGACCAGCGCCCAGGCTCAGGGCATGCCCGCGTCCCAGGCCTCCGGCTCCCGCCGTCCCCGCTATCGCCGCGTTTCGCTGGCGTCCGCCCCTAACGGCTCCGGGGCCGGTGACCGTGGCGTCGTGACGTCGCTGGGGGCGGGACTTCCGGCTCCGCGCGCCGCCAGGACTCCCACAGGCTGGAGGGCGGCGGGCGGGGTCGTGGAGGACGTCTGCCCCGGGGGTGGCGCCGCAGCCGGAGGAGGCCGGCCTGAGTAGGAGCAGGCAGTTCGCCGCCGCCGTCCTTTCTGCCTCGCGGCGCCGCCGGAAGACCTGAGACTCCCAGGTCGAGCCCCGCAGACGCTCGGCCCTCGCACTCCTCCTCGGCTGCCCCGCGTCGACCCGGGAAGGCGGGCGGCGGGACCCGCCCTGGCCCCGATGCGTCCCCGCGCGAGGCGGGGGGTTGCCGGTGGCCGCCGCTGCGGAAGGCTCCGGGGTGGCGCGCGCGGCCGGAACTCCTGTCCCTCGGGCCGCCCGTGTACCTGTCGCGAGGAGCGCTGGGCTGGTACGTAACCTCCGACCTGCACTCGCTTCCCTGTCCCCGCCCGAGGTCCCTCCGCTCTCCAGGGAAGGCCCGGGACGCACGTGGAGTCCCGCGGGTGGCGGAGGAGGCGCCGGGAGAGATCCCGCCCCGTAATCGGCCCGCGTCCTCCAAATGTCACTTAGACGCCTTGCTCCGGGTCCCCTGGCCTTGGAAACCGTCTTAATGCGCTGTGGGCAGTCCGTGCCGACAACGCCTGGGTGTATTTGCGGGTGCCGGGCTCAAATCGACACTTGGGTCACTGCTGGGTCCCCCCCTTTCGCTCACCCCTGGGCGCTTTGCTCTTAGGGTACCCCGCGGAGAGCCGGTGAGGCCCTGGGCAACGTGGATTGTCCCGGAAAAGCTGTTCCAAGTCTCCGCAGAGTCCAGGACGAGTGTGACACGGTGTCCCCAGGACTCGGGCTACGAGCGCGGGCTTTCGGTGTCCCCGGCACTCAGTCCATGAGCATGGGCGCTCGGTGGCACCGGAAGGGGAGCTGCGGTGGGAGCAGGGCCTCTGTCGCCAAGCAGCGTCCCTAGACACGCTTGGCATTCCACTAGGACGTCGTTCCGTGGAGCCTGCCATCATCTGGATTCGGAATTCTCTAGATTCATGAGTGTAGTCTGGAGGTGGTGGCGGCTAATGCTCAGCTTTTGCGTTGAGGTTTGATATCAGACTTAAGTTGTTCAGAGTGACAGAAAGCTGAAGATGTCTCTGTCACCCGGGATGCCCCCGAAAGTTGTAATGATTGAGCTGCCCTTTGGTTATTTAGGAGAGTATTCCCCTTACGTGTGTATTTTATTTTCCAGTCAGGTGAAGTGTGTGTGCATACTCTGTTTAGAAATATTCTCAAATATTGGTGTAATGCCAGTTTAGGGCACTGGGAGGTCGAAACACTGATGATTTACAAGTAGTTTAGTTTTTGATCCTTGGTTTAGCCAGTAGCCTCACTCTCTCCACTCATGGAACCCTTCATGATATAAGTTGTATGGCAAGCTGCTAGTTTTCAGAGCACTTTTGAAATGACCTTTTGAATGCGATAGTTTTTCGAGTATGTTAGAAAGTATATGAGAAAATGTGAGACTTGGTGAGACTGCAATCTATTAACAGGAATTGGAAGTTGAAGTTTAATGTTTTTTACATCATGCCTTTACTGTAGTGCTAAAATCCTTAGACTTCATTTTTGTTTTGTTCCTCTTTTTCATATACTGATGTTGAAGTAGTGAGATATTCAAAAGTGGAGCAAGAGAGAAGAAAAAAAATCAAGATGACTCATGTGTGACAAAATCCTTAGTCATCAGAATCAGCATCATGTTATGGGACATTCTAATTCAAGAAGCTTAGAAGAATGAAATTTTAACCGAAAGATTAATGAATTGTCAGAGTTCTTTTTTTTCCTCGAGGCATTGTCTCTCTGGTTAAAGTAGATGAGCTTGATTTGAATTTTGTCATACATAATGTATTAGGTTCAGTAAGTAATTGTCTCACATAGTTTTTCAACCTTTGTGTACTTTGCGGGAATGTGTAGATACCTGTGTAAATAATTTCCTACCTGTCAAAGTTTACATTCCTTGGCTTAAGCAAAATTCTTCAAAATCCTCTCACCCCTTGCCTTTCAGGCTTGTGTTCTGTTTAGAAAGGGTGTTTCTGCTGAGACTGGCTTCTCTACTCTTCTCTAATCCTGCTCTGAGCCTTCTCCTTTCCACATTAGTCTTCCTGTCTTTCTGTCTCCCTGGCCCTTCTGCACGCTCTTAAATCTAAATTGTGCTTTTTCTGTAAGGTCATGACCTCATACTTATTGTTTGTGTTTGTGAGTCATGTTTCTCTGACACATAACCTTTTCATTGTATTATTTCACCCTTTGCCTGTCCGTCTTGAATCCCTAACTGAATTGTAAGCTCCATATTGGCAGGACTTCAGATTTCAGCAAGCCATGTCCTTAGTCTCTTTCAAGTAGAAGCTGCTGAGTAAATGTTTCTGAAAGATGATGAATGTGCATTTGTTCTTTTTACCCATTCTATTGTTTATTGGAAGTGAGAAGATTGTTGAGAGAGGAGAGTACCTGAGGGAGAAAGGGCAGCAGTAAACCATAAGGAAGGAGATTAAAGAGTGAGAATTCTTTGGAGTTAGAAGCAAAAGTTTGGTTCCTGGAAATTATGAAGATTTAAGAATTTCCCATGACAATACCCATAGTAAGGACTCCCTCAGGAACACTGGCACTGCTCCCAGGGTGGTTGGCGGAGTTTGGTGAATTTCCTGGTTGTTCCTCAGTAGAATCTTAGTTGTAAAATCCTGTCCCCTCCTCTCCCTCCCTCTTTTCCCTTCCCATTACTCCCCTCCTCTCCCTCTCTCATCATCTACCCATTTTACTCCTTTCTATCCTACTTTTTGACCTGCCAGAGACTTAATTTATGAAATTATGTCAATACTTTCATTTGGCCCTCATGAATCAGCAGTTCTCTTAAGTTTCTTAAATATTGGTTTTCATCAGGGCTGCTCACTGTAGGTCACAGAGATATCACTGATTGTCAGGTCTAGTACTATTTCTTTTGAGTTTATCTGAGCTATAATCCAGGATGAGAGGAATTTTAAAAGTCAGGAAATGCCCTGTTACTTGCTTTCTGTATATTGTGACTTCAAATTGCTTTTGGATTCATATTTAGAGTTCGGAGGAGCCTAAACCTGGCCATTTCTTTTTGGAAAGCACCTATCAGTCTCACAGTATGTCTATAAAACGTCCAGGTATTTCTCTAGTCGGGCTGATGCTCATAACAAAGAGTTACTTCAGCTGAAGGTATAAAAAAGTGAGGTTGAGTCTCAGAGTGCTTTTTGATTGAGGTGTTTCTTGAGTGAGCTTGCCATCCTAGCAACCCTGGCTGTTGCCCAGTGACTCAACACAGTTGCATTATAACATAGCAACCACTGCAAGCGCTGACTTTGGGCTGGAGGGATTTCTTGATGAGGCTGCCATGCCTATACCCTGTGTTCACATTTAATCTCTCACCTGGGATTCTTGTTTGATTTTAGGCAGATATTTCAGATATTGTTAAATTTAAAGGACATATAGTATATACTCCTAAGTATATTTTTTGGAGTGCTGACAAATTATAACTTTCTGTACAAATATATGTTTTTCACATAGAAATGCATGATAAATATGGAATTAAATTATAGTATGTGTGAAGCATACATGAAAACACTGGTTCAATAGTAGATTAGTCTGGGCAGAAAAGCCATTAAGTAACAACATCATAGTTATCTACAATTGATGTTGCCAGACAGAGCTGGAGTGGATGAAGTTGAAATAGTTCTTTTGTTAATAACATTTTAAAAAATTACTTCTGGAGCTTCGTGGAAAACTTAGAACAATAAGCACAATTTAATAGGCACTGTGATTTTTGTGGGAAGAGAATTGTGATTCAGGAGACCAAGGCTTGACTGGGTAAGTCACCTAACCTTTCTTGGTATATTTTCTCTTTTGAAAACATAAATCTTTGAAGGGTTCTTTCAGAAACTGTATGTTTTCAATTTAAAGCAGATTTTATTTCTCCTGTTTATGACTTTGGTCAATATTTGAGAGCCTGTAATGTGTCTTGCTATAATGTGTATGCTATACACTGGGGAGGGTATGAATAAAACATAGCACTAGTCTCAAGCACCTTATTGTCTGGTGGAGAAATGGATCAAGTAAACAGTAATTGGTAATATAACATGGTAAATGCTACAAAGATACATAAGAATGTGTTCCGGGGAATAGGAAGGATGCTGGCCTTAGAACTGCAGAAAGAGTACATTACGATTGAGGAATGCCTCCTTAGAATTTTGTAAGTATAGTTTTAGGGTATATGGAGAAGTATTCAACTTAGCCTGGAAGGAGTTACTCAAGGAGAATTAGGAAGTTTCTTAGAGTTGGAGAGACAGTTAAGAGTCATCAGCAATAGTGGCAGTTGAGATACTGGGTGTAGATGAAATTCCTAGGCAGAGATGTGTAGAATCAGAAGAGAACTGGTAAGCACCAGCATGTAATGGGTAGGTGGAGAAAGAACGCAGGGAGGAAAAACAGAGTAGGGCAAGGGCTTGGAAGCTGAGGGAGGAATGCACATCACATTTAATTTATTGATTAAATAGAAATTGTTGCTCAGGAAACATTGACTGTGTGCACCTATAAATGTAAACCCATCTAAAGATACCCTCTACAAAGATCTGAACTTGTAAATAGCGATAGGTTAAGTTTTCAGTTTGCAGCATAACAGAGGAAACAGTATGTACTTTGGAGCTAGAATCCTAAGATTGAAGGTTAATATCTTGGTTCCACCACTTCACTAACTGCCTGACTTTTGGACTAGTTACTTAATTTTTTGGTCCTCATTGTCTTCATGTGTAAAATGATGCTTTTTCCCACAAGAGTCATATGGATTATAAAAAGGTAAGTTGTAACATCTGACTCTTTTTTCTTTTTACATTTTTTATTTTAAAGATGTGAGGTACAATTCAGGGTTAGGAATACAAATGTTCATTATATAGGTACCCTTGTTGATGAGGTGTGCCCCCCTCCCCCCTGGTAGTTTCCCACTGCTGCCAATCCAATACCTGACTCTCAATGAGAACTCTTTAAATATTGATTTTTATCAGGCTACTGTTAAAGACTATTCTACTGGGTTGGGCACAGTGGCTCACGCCTGTAATCCCAGCACTTTGGGAGGCCAAGGCAGGAGGATCACTTGAGCCCAGGAGTTCAAGACCAGCCCGGGCAACATAGTGACACCTCGTTTCTATCAAAAAAAAGAAAAAAAAGACTGTTCTCCTAAACTACATACCATTCTTTTCCTCCTCTTCCCTACCCCAAGTCATATTCTTGTATTTTTCAAGATCCTCTGGAATTCCTGCCTTTTCTTGAATACCTTTCTATATGGATGATATTACAAATTTTCTATAATGAATGAACTTGTCCTTGTGTCCTTCAGGATTTTCAGCACTATTTTTT